AACAAACTCTGTTGATTAGCCAAGCGTCAAGATTATTCACTCGCAATTTGCATAATAAGATATACTTTAGAGATTATGCAAATTACGCACTACCAAGACTCATAACACCTTAAGGCAGCGTCGAGTGTTGTGGAGGTTCATGATTGTTTGAGGTAGTGAAGGGCTGCACAGCTAGCCTAAACGGGGAGAGAGTTTAGCATTCATCTCTCTAGTTTATGATATTGAAAAGGAAATTTCAATATGTCGAAAAGACACTGAAGGTGAGTACAGTATGATTGGGTTAGTCTAGGTTGGGTTGGATAAAGTTAAGTTGGGTTAGGTTCTGTTGGGTTAACTTAGGTTGTTTTGTATCAGAAGAAAACTATAAACTAAAAAAACAACCCCAGATAACCACTATGAACCTTCTCAGTTAGCATAAAGTGTCCGTATTCTGACTGCTGAGTTGACCCCTCGCTGTCCCTACTAATGCCAGGTCAGGTTTCATCGTCGTCCTACTGCTGTCGCTCGTGATATATATATATATATATATATATATATATATATATATATATATATATATATATATATATATATATATATATATATATATATATATATATATATATATATATATATTATTTTTTTTAGGGGGGGGGGAGAACCGTCAATATAAGCAGGAGTGCTCCAGAGTAAAGATGAGGTGGACCCGATGTGTGATCATCGGCTTCCTCTGTTTTTGGAGCAGAGGCTTTCAGTGTCCGTGGCATTACACTATCTCCTCCAGCCAATATCTTAATCTGCAATTCTCCTGTAGTTTCGGTTGGCTTCTCAATATGTTATAGTTTAGTGTTTTCCCATTTAGTAAGACGGCGGTGTCAACATGTTAAAACTTCGTAAGTATAGGTCAGTTTCTCAATAAATCGGAGGCATGACGTGTCTGTGGTCATTCTAGTTTATTTTCACGGATCATTTCCCTGCCTGACCCTTCTTATCATTTCATGGAAAATCCAACAGCATCCAAGTTTTCCGGGTGACGACTTGGTAGTGGAGAGTCGTAGCGATGATCTTGTAACAGCGATAGGAAGATTGTTTGTTGTTCTCCAGGAAGGGTTTTCCAACAGAGAGAGAGAGAGAGAGAGAGAGACAGAGAGAGAGAGAGAGAGAGAGAGAGAGAGATGAGTGTCAAGGTGAACGGACGGACACTTGTTACACTAGTATTCTCTGAAACACGTCTACCACGCCCTCCCTCATTCTCCCTCCGCTTGTTAGTCATCGACCTGTTTTCATTCCCCATCATCTCCATCAATATAAGTCACCCTAATCCCATTCGTTCCCTCATCTTGAACTCTTCTCCTGTAGTCCGCTCCGTCTTCGTTAGGTCTCCGCCATCACCTTCATCCTACCGACCTTTGTTAATTTTACTCCACTTAGCTAGAGCGTCTTCACCTCCTTCACACCTTCCATCACCTGTTTACCACCTCTCTCTTGTTTACATCCTTCACCAAATTTCTTTATTTTTTCAGGTTTACAAGAAATTTTAAAACTGATTAGCAACTTGACCTTTCCATAATTTAGACCTCCCCTCACTTCCCCCATAGACTCTACCAAACCTGTTACACAACTTCCACCACCATGATCATCAACCTTTTACAATTTCCACTAAACTTTCACAACCCCTCACAACCCCGGCCTACTTGTCACACCTCACCTCACCAGCACAATGTCCCAGTGTGTCATTTCTGAAGCAGAACTGAAGTGTAATGAGGCCAGATTACTGGACGTGTGAGGCCCCAACACTGTGTTTGTCAATGTCCCCTCTATCAGTCTACATCAGTCACTTGAAATTATCTCTGACTGGTGTTTGAGGAAAGGTTGAGGCGAAAGGAAAAGCCAACAGTCTGCTTAGATCGTCATGGTAACCGGATACTCGACGTTTCGGATACAGTTGGCCTCTTCCTACACCCCTCCCCCAGAAGTCATTTGGAACAGAGATAGAGAAAGAGAGAGAGAGAGAGGTAGCTTGCCGGCTCCAGCTTGACTTCTCCAGCTTGGCGGCTCCAGCTTAACTTTTCTAACGTGACGGCTCCAGCTTGGCGGCTTCAGTTTGGTGACACCGACATAACCTGTCACGTCCTGTCCTCACTACTGTCTTATATTTTCCTAATATCTTCGGTAATTTCCCCACATGCGTCATTTGCCCTCAAGAAATAACTACTTGATATACATGAGAAGAGTAAGTGTAATGTCTGCGTTTATCGTTATTTATGTTAGTATTATCGTCCCGGGGGCCAGTATTATCGTCCTAGGGGCCAGTATTATCGTCCTGGGGGCCAGTATTGTCGTCCTGGGGGCCAGTATTGTCGTCCTGGGGGCCAGTATTATCGTCCTGGGGGCCAGTATTGTCGTCCTGGGGGCCAGTATTATCGTCCTGGGGGCCAGTATTATCGTGCATCCTTTCATTATTTTGAGCTTTATCATGGTGCCTGCAGTTCTATCATGGTGCCTGCAGCTCATATCATGGTGCCTGCAGCCTTATCATGGTGCCTGCAGCTCTATCATGGTGCCTGCAGCTCATATCATGGTGCCTGGAGTTCTAATATGGTATACCTTGAACTTTGTCATGGTGATTAATTACCTTGTTTTAATGTCAATAGGAATCATTTAGTGGCAATTTACATAGAGAATGAGTCTTCGAAATGATTTGAGGGGTTAATAAATAAAGATTGACTTATGTGATCAGACTTATATTGATATTTCGTTAGTCTTTGGGGGTTTGTATCTCTAGAAAAATATATATTTACCTTTGATTATCTTTTTTGTAATTGTGTATTGATAATCTGTTAGCTTTGTCTTTGGAAACCCCTATCCTGCACAGGTAGAGGAAATGTCGCAATTTGTTTAATTAACCCAATTATTTTTTTTTAATAACTAATCTGGGGACTAATCTTGATGTTATTGTGGTGCTTTAACTAATAGTCAACCAGTCAGGTAGAGTCTTTTGTCAAGAGGGAGGTTCTTCGTATGAATCTGGTGAATCCGGGTCCTGGTTCTAAAAGATTCGTGGGTTACTATCCTCCCTACCGGGGTGTAAGAGAAGGCACCAAGTTACGGCAGTGTCTGAGCAGTTTTGACGCCATTTTAGCCGTCTCCATCCTTGTGTAGTAACCAGAAAGAGCCAGTTAGTTTCGTTCTTGTATCTCCAATAAGATTGGAGAATTTAACGCGCGTCAACACTAAAAAAAAATTATATTCGAAAGTCCCCTTTAAGACAGTATACGTCCACAGTTAACTTGTATTCAAATAACATCATTTAGAATGTACAGTAAGGTTGTTAGAACGCCCGTTGATCCCCGATATGTTGGGAATATTGCTGATACCACACCACCGGACGTTAGTAACCAGAAAGAGCCAGTTAGTTTCGTTCTTGTATCTCTAATAAGATTGGAGAATTTAACGCGCGTCAACACTAAAAAAAAATTATATTCGAAAGTCCCCTTTAAGACAGTATACGTCCACAGTTAACTTGTATTCAAATAATATCAGTTAGAATGTACAGTAAGGTTGTTAGAACGCCCGTTGATCCCCGATATCTTGGGAATATTGCTGATACCACACCACCGGACGTTGCCTCATATCTGGTCAGTTTTAAGTAAGAGAAGATTATTATTTTACTGGAGGGAATGGAGCAACAGTTACCTACTCTGATAAACTGTCAGTTGAAGCTTTATTTTTTCGCTATGTACAACAGCTGCATGAGTTACTGCCAAACCTATTAATGTAGAGTTTTATTTCCAACATCTGTTACCTGTTACATTTTTCAAAGCTACGAGTTACAGCTAAAACTACAGCTACAATACCTACAGCTATGAGGAGAGTCGTCTTGGTCAACAACAGTAAAATAATTGTAGTGTGGAATGAAATGTTTAATGTGTTCAGAGCGAGTGTAGGAGACAGAGCGAGAGTGTAGGAGACAGAGGGAGAGTGTAGGAGACAGAGGGAGAGTGTAGGAGACAGAGGGAGAGTGTAGGAGACGAGAGTGTAGGAGACAGAGGGAGAGTGTAGGAGAGAGCGAAAGTGTAGGAGAGAGAGCAAGTGCAGAGGAGAAAACGAGTGTCGGAGAGAGCAAGCGATAGTGCTGGAGGGTGAGAGGGAAAATACGTGAGTGCAAGGTGGGGAACAAGGAAGAAAACACACATTCCTTCCTTCCTTCTTTTCTCAATGAGTCATAGTGGATAGAGCGTTCAAGGCCAGTCTTTCTTTACGGAGGCGTTCAGCTGTAAAAGTAACCAGCTTATCAATACCTAGTCACTCGTATGCCAAGGTCGATACTCTTGGCTTGTGTTAAGTGTGATCACCTCTTGTATATAAATAAATATATATGCAACCTTGAGTGATACGAGTGTGACGGGGCTTGTTAAGTGGCTGGAGTTAAGTGTGTGATCAATATTGTTGCTACATGTTAGTTGATAGTGTCGAGTACAGGAGTGTATCGGGATGCTAAGAAAGAATGTATTACAATTTCAAATTACATAGGAAAGTATTTTGTGTACATGTTGCATAATAAATATACTGTGTGTAAGAGACTACGTCATTACAGGATTTTTGTAACAACCAAAATTCTAATTAATTAATAACTCAAGGCTCATGAATATATAGCTAATAGTAAAATTATAATAAATTTATTTTATATATTACATATCATTAATGATTTCTAAACAACACTGATACCATTTTCAGTGTTCAGTAGTGTGACATTGTATACATACTGTATGTTCAGATGTTGATTTATTATTCGCTGTATCATACTGTATAAGGAACAAGATTATGTAACTGTAATATATCGGCGTTATCACCATTACCATCACCACTGTAAAACCATCACCACTCATCATCACAATCATTCTCTATCACCACCACTCATAGCCAATCACCATTATCACTACGACCCTCCTACCACCACACCACCATGAGCCTCACATCACTTACAACTAACTAACCTCCCTCTTTTCCTTCCTCCACAGAGAGCCAACCGCAACAACGCAGAAGGAACCTCGTCAGCAGACCCCGAGGATAAACCACCCAGCTACGAGGCTATCCTCACCTCTGATGGTCTTCCTCCAGACTATTACTCCATCCTCTCTGAAAAACCTCCCAGGTGAGTCTTCCTCTCGCTCTGTTCTGCACTCTTAAGCACTTTTAGCATAATAAATAAACCACAGGCCCCAACTTGACTTTAAGTAAACCATTAGAATTGGGACCCATTCATTATGATCAGCATCCACTCGTGCTGGGACTCACTATTACTGTTATGGACCCTATTAGGACCGAACGAACCTCAGTCTTTATGGTTAGATTTGATTAAGTTTAGGGCCACAATACGAACTGGGGTCAGGTGGTATTGTGTTTTCTTAATCGTTTTTAGGTGATTTTCGTGTCTTCGTGTAATCTCTCTCTCTCTCTCTCTCTCTCTCTCTCTGTCAGGCGATTGTGCTGATTGATAAAATATTCTAGTTCCTGTTTGAAGTAGTTGGGTGTTTCATCTTAAAATGGGTTCTTTGCCATTCAACTATAAGGCTATGGGTTCCCTTACCTTCTAGTTGTGTGGTTTCCCTACAGGTGGCTCTGGAGGTCAATAAGGTTTATGATTCTTGGCTGAAATGGTGTTAGATTTCACCCAAAGAGGTTCTAGTGGCTTTTATAGATGGTTTTATTATCTCCTTTTTTGTCAATGATAGATTCCAAGTTCATTGTCTAATTGGTGGTTTCTTCTTACCTATCAGTTGCTCATAGTTCTTGTCTGTCAAGTGGTTATGTCTACCAAATAAGGTCAGGATAGGTTACTTTATGTTGGGTTAGAATATGTTAGCTTTGGGTAAGTAGGGTGAGTTTAGGTTAGGCTGGCTTAGGTTTGGATATTATAGGATAGATTGGGTTAAGTATGGTTAGGTTAAGTTGTGTATGGTTGTTTTAGGTTAGTTTACATGATTAGATTAGGTTGGTTGGGCTAGGTTGGTTAGGGCTTTTTAGTACTGAGGTTCATTTAAATCATTATCCAAAAATAAAGCAAAGATAAAATTAAAATAATACCCCGGAGAGACTCTGATTATTGTTGTGACATTTTTTCATGTTTTTCCTGCTTAAATTTCCTGCCATTTCGTGATATCTCTCGTTTATGATAGCTGAGAAGGTTGTGTTCCAAATACATTACACATTACGAACTAATACTGTACATGCAGAGATTTCATAACACACATGGTTACTACACATTAATTTTAAATGAGCTGTTGCAAATAATCAGACACGAGGAACCCCAGCACTTAATAAACTACCATTCTGATCTTAGTGTTCCTGATCAGAGGTAAAACATACACGGACACAGTTTGTTGAGTCGACAGACAACGATAACTTGAGGAAACCTAAAATAAAACTAGCTTACAGGACAACAAATTATATATATATATATATATATATATATATATATATATATATATATATATATATATATATATATATATATATATATATATATATATTGATTGTAGGTAAACGATACAGTACTGTATACATAGAAAGGTCAAGTATACAAACTCTGTATCAACGTAATTAAATAATTCAGTGTAAGTTAGGGGATATATTCAGCCATTTACTCTTAAACTTATTAGTTTTGGACAACACGTTATGAGTTTTGTTTACATTTACAGATAACTATATATTTTTCTCTTTTTTACCAGATATGAGGACATTGCCGCTGGGATTATCAACCTCACTACATTTTCTGTCGCAACATCAAGTAGTATAGATCCAAACACCAGTGATTCAATTACTGTTATATCTGAGGCAGCACCTGCTGTAGACGCTTCGTCAGTCCCCCGCGTTGGAATAGACAGCTTACCTCAAGTGTTCCAGCCAAAGACCATCACCATAGATGTTACTGTTAACTCGGTAGAACAAGTAGAAAGCAACTACAAGGATGAGAGAAGACCTGAAGTAGAGGAGGATAGAAGTAATGAGATGGAAGAAGAAAGAAAACAACAAACACAAAGTGAAAGAATTCAAGAAACCGAAGATATTAAGGAAGAAACTGATGGTGATAAAATCCTACACACAAAATATATTAGCCAGTGTGACAAAAACACTTCCATTAGACAAGACTCACAGGTAGCCTTAGGCAGTATGAATGAGTCTGAGTTATGATAATTTATTTTTTAATTAAGGAGATTTGTGCCATGTCACTGACGCTTTTTACATGATGAAAAGCTTTTATCTGTGTTAAATACCTCCAATGTATTTTTGAGTAAACTCACCATACATTTATAGGACAACACACTGTAAATATACGGTGACTCTCGAGTACTGTCAAGCAAGCATAGAAAAACTAGTCTTATGTGATTTGGATTTTAATGGAGAAAGGATTAATCCATCATTAGAATATATGACAAGTGTACAAAACACATTGGTTATCAGTGTATCGGCTAAAGTATTTATGTTCATATTTGTCTGATCTGTTGTATTGTACCTGTAAAGTATGATGTGTTAAACTTATTATTCTTTTTTATGTTATGTTTTCTTTGCCCTATTAAGGTGTCTAGCGACACTGGTGGCTTGTGATACTGTTTAAGAAACATAAATACAGTAATTATAATCTTGAGAATACTGTAGTTCTTGATGAAGGCAAGATAACTCTACCCTGGCCTATAATATATTTAAATTAATATTAATTTGGGTTTGTTAAGTTGTCAAGTGTGTGGAAATTAATTGCAATACACATAAAGTTTATCTTTTCTTACATTTATACAATTACTGTAGTTTGGTTCAAATGTAACAACAAACCCAAGTTGTTGTTTTCCCCATAAGGTCCTGTAAATGCCAAGCATTCATTGATACAACTCAAGATGCATTTTGTACATTAAAATACTGTATGTGTAAATATGGGCTTCAATGGTTGATTAATAATTATCTCAAACTGCAACACCTGGGTAGGGGACACATCATCCCCGGGATAATAAGTATTAAGGACTGTGCCTACACATCTCTGTAGGTTGTGATACTCGCACTAGGTTAAGGATTTTGCTCTATTTGTGATATTCATTTTATAATAAAATAAATAATTTTTTAATCTTACTTTTATAATCCCAATATTTGTATGTAGTTGAGGCCTTTTTTGTCAGAAAACTTTCTCTGTTGGAAAGCAAAGTACTGTAAGAGGTGGAATATACTTAACAATGACAAAATAAAACGTACACGAATTGATTAATTGGTTTAATTATAATGGGTTAAATTATTTTAAGGGTTATTAATTGTCACCAATTATTCGAATTTATATATTTTAAACTCAGATCCTTAATCAGCATCACCAAAACTACCTTAGGTGAAATTTCGAAGTTCAATAAATGACTCCAAAGCTCGAGTATAACTTGAAAATACATAAAAATTACAGAACAAATGCACGCAAGTCAAAGACTAAGAGCTACTAATAGTGTGAACAAGTTTAAAAACATCTATGAAAAAGCCAGGTAAGTTCATAACTTCACTATTTCCTAAGGTTTTAAGACTGATTTTGACTTGGATATCTACATCACCTGAGTCATTGAAAATGTAGTGGGGGATTGGTGATAGCTCACACGAGAAAACTATTACTGTACTCTTTGTACTCTTTGAGTAAATTAATTTGGTATCAAAGACCTTGCATTTTCCTACATGACAGGCATCCTGAAAATCATTATATAACGTGAAACCATTTCTAATTTATTTCCTGCCTGTGCAGTCACCAAAAGCATGAACAAAAATCAATCTTTATTCCCTCGAATAACAGAACACTGCAAACAGGGTTATTGAAAGCCTTGGTCCCTTTACTGTCGGCGACGTTAAGGGAGAGGTCGGCTTCAGAGTCAGTGGGTTAAGTAACGATCGTAATAGCTAAGGTGAAGCGCATGGTCGTTGTTCCACCCTACACCAAAGCAATGATAAAGTGTGGTGCGGCTGTACAGGCACCAGGTGAGCAGCACCTAGTAGAACCACTGCGTCCCGAGGGGGCTGCTGTGGTGCCTGCTCGTTGCTGTGTCACCGGGTCTACCAGTGGTGACGTGTTCCTACGGGTGGCCAACGCGACGAGCACACAGGAACTACTTCACGAAGGAGAGATACTAGGTGTGTTTGAACCGGGGATCGAGGTATCTAGCCCGAAGTCACCGACGGCAATAGGCCATGGGAAAGGAGACCCGTTGGCTGACATAACAATAGGACAAGAATTGACAGAGGAGCAGTGGGAGGATATTAAGTGGATCCTTCAGGAATTTCAGGGCGTCTTCGATGTTGGAGGGCCATTACCATTAGTAAGGGTTGGAGTAGAGCACTCTATCAGAGTAGACCCTCGGGCTCTACCGTTGACATCACGGCCGCGGAGGCTTTCCCCACGGGCTGAGGCTGAGGTACGTAAAGAGATAGACAAGCTTCGGGAGATGGGTGTCATAAGAAAGTCCTGCAATCCTTGGGCTGCGCCCATAGCTTGTGCCCACGGCCGGATTCAGGAGTGGGCAAAGTAGGCAGCTGCCCAGGGGCCTCCACAATCTGGGGGCCTCCACATGTTACATCTGACCTTGGACTTAAAGAAGCCTATATATGCATTCTTGGACAGAACCATTATTTGAGTAGAGGTTTATCTGATTAATAATGCAAAGAATCATCTCTCTGTAATAATTAATAATATATTTTTTCTGTGAAGTCTCTTGAAAATTTTTGACATTTGCGGTAGTAGCTATATCAGGACTGGTCGACTTGAAACCACATGAATGACTCCAGTCATGTCTCACTGTTGTGTGTATGTGTGTGTTGGGAATTTGTACACTATCAATAAATATACAGTTAATTAAAAATTTCTCAATGTTCTAATTTCCTCAATATAACTGCATATGGCTTCAAAATTCTCCAAAGAAGAGTTCAAATTTCAACATTTTCCCGGGGGGCTTACAGCGCCCCCCGGAACTCCCAGATGTTTAGGCTCGCTTCACTCGCCACCCCACCCTCTTGGGTAGTTATAATGAGGTGGGCCTCCATAAAGAGGCTGCCCATGGGCTTCCACAGGTCTAAATCCGGTACTGCTTGTGCCCGACGTCAGGATGGAAGCCTACGTTTGGCGATCGACTACAGGGGCGTTAACAGCGTGTCTCAACCGGCAACACTTCATCCTATTCCCATAATTGAAGATCTTCTTGACAGACTAGGGGCAGCCCGATTCTTCTCAGTAGGGATACCATCAGTTGCCCCTGAACGAGGATGACAGTGCGGTGTAAGCATTTGTAGTGCCGTGAGGACACTATGAGTGGGATGGCAGGACACCATTTGGACTGAAGGGCGCTGGATACTCGTTTCAGAGCATGATGTCCACCAAACTGGGGGAGAACAACTAGACCGGACGCCCTATGTACTGCGGGCAGTACTGGGGAAGATAAAGGATACTGGGCGCGCCTTGGCACCAGGAAAATGCAGGTTCGGTGTCTGTAGAGTGGAATATCTCGGTGCGGTGGTCAGCAACGGGATGTTGAGTATGAGTGAACAGGGGGTGAGACAACTGCGGACGATCCCAAGACCATCTACAGTGCTTCAGCTGAGGAGGGCTCTTGGTGCATTTTCTTACATCCAACGTTGGTTGCCGGGTGAGGCGGAGATCGCTAAGCCTCTGTAAGAAGCACTAGATCGAGACCCATACCGGAAGCAGCACTGAACTAAGAGGATGTGTAGATTCTTTGACGCCCTCAAGACACAGGTGGCAAATGCTGCGGCACTAAACCTTCCGGATTACAAAAAACGCTTTGTGCTGGTGACTGATGCAAATGATGTCGGGACGGGAGCCATGCTAGCGAACAGATCTGGTGACGAAAAGTTACCCCCGATTGCATTCTTTCACCATTGTTACGAGTTGGGGATTTAGAATATAGTTATACGTCTACCCAGATCCCAACAGGTAACAAAAAAAAAAAAACAAAGACAATCGGACTATAAAAGGGTAGACAAAGGATGCGAGTTTTCGTTGTGTATAATAAAGTACCATAAATCCCTAAACAAAATATTCAGCTTATAAATTACCCTTAACCAAACTTAACCTAAACATTAACAGTATATACATATTAATACAACATAAACAATTTTGAAGCAAGTGGACGTGGGGGAGGCAATACAAGATTACAAATACTTAAGTGAGGAGCTGAGATGGCTGACGAGTAAGGCTGAGTATTGTAGAAGACGGTAGGTAGTCACTGTCCATAGGTTTAGAGGATAGATGATCCTGTGGTCACTTCCCAGAGCCAAGTGCTCTCTCCTCGAATTGGAGCTCACAAAGAAGACTTGGAGGAAGTGACGCAACAACCAGGATATGGAGAAGGGAAACCCCGGAGTGTTAACTAAGACGAGTCATACTCGTGTCTCGTCCCTAGATGGCGTTGCTCGTGGTGATGGGTAGGTAGATCAAGACAATAGATGGCGTGGTTCGTAGTGCTGGGTGGAGGGGTTCGTAACACCATACATTGACCACAGCTGAATAGCGCTTCTCAGCGACGGAGAAAGAGCTGTTGGTGGTGGTGACAGCGGTGAAGAGATTCAGGATGTATCTGTCAGCCTCTCAGTTCGACCTGATTACGGATCATCGCGCCCTTCGCTGGCTCAACTCGCTCGGCATAAGTGGGGAACGGGGCAGGAGGGGGAGGTGGATGGATCTCCTGCAGCAATTCGACATCTATCTTATACACAAGGCAGGTCGCAGTCCGACGATGTCCATGGCGGATTATCTCTCACGAATCGTAACTGATGTTGGACAAATGAGGACAACCTCAGCAGGTGCAATTAACGCTACTACGCATCTCGCTAACACCTTCTGGGACATGCCGACCTTCATCAAGGAACAACTGGACGACGAAGAAATAGTTGTCATGGTCAAAATCCTTGGGGGTAATGCGGGGAACAGTTTAGCTCCGGAGGTGCTCTGTTAGATACAACACGGTGGACGTCGAAGCAGAGTGCATCCATGGAGTTAAGGAAATATAGATTCCAGTGGTCCCAGAAACGTTGTGGGTACAGGCCCTGCGGCTGGTGCATGATGCTCCCCTGAGTGGCCACATGGGACAGAATCGCGCCTGGGAGAGGGCAACGAACAGCTTTTGGTGCCCGGGGATGAATAATGATGTAGCGGCACACACCAGTAAGTATCAGGCATGTAGGACGAACAAAAGAGCTAAAGTGACAGGGAGAGCACCGTTGCAATACACGGAAATTTCTGACTACACAAATGATCTAGTGCAAGTGGACTTCGTGGGACCGTTTCCTGTTTCTGGCAAGCATCAATTTCGGTACAGGACGTACTGACGCGCTATATTGTGATGGTGTCCACGTGTGATGCTACATTAGACACTGCAGCCAGGACTCTTTGATCGTTGGGTGTGCACATTCGGAGTGCTTCAGTCACTCTCATCGGACCGGGGGCCTCATTCTATGTCTGAGATGTTCCAAGCAGTATATCGGGTGACGGGCAATCATCAGAAACTTGGAACGCCCGATCATCCCCGCAGCCAGGCCCAGGTGGAGAGACAAAATCAGTTGATGGACAACCTGCGGTGACGCGGTGTCTATGTGATAACAACATCGATTTGTGGCCGGAGATGGTGCCGCATCTGCAATTTAGCACAATACATCAAGGAATACAACAACAGGATATACTCAGCACAAATTGGTGTATGGTGCTCCTGCAAGATGTCCGGAACAGGTGGTGTCGGAAAAGACATCATGTGATGATCCTGACTTCTGTCCACCAGACCTGAGTAATGCGGAGGTAGCTGGTCGTTTGGTACGGGAGAAGTTGGGAAGCATCGAAAAAGCACTACGTTCGGCAAAAGAGAGGGTAGCAGTGGCGCAAGAAAAGAGGAACAAGAAATATTGCAGTCGAGAGGAGCGTTCTGTGTCGTCGACCTGGCGCGGCTCAAAATATCACCAGTTGATTGGCACAAGAAAGGGGGTAAGAAGATGGCCCCTATCAGTCACACTGCTACCGCGTCCTCACAGTTTCTAAATGGGGATGATGATGTTCGCTTTCTTTGTCCTGACGCTCCTACTCGCCTCCCCCATAGTTTC